AATTAAGCTGAGGAATGCTTTGGAATAAAAAGCAGCTGATCCAGAGCTTTTGCAAACAGTGGATTCAGCAAAACTGATAAACATCTTTTTTTTGCCTTTATCGGTTATTCTGCGCTGCTGAATTAAACTGCTATTCAGATTGTTATTGCTAACGCAGCTCTTGGGGCTTATTAACAAAACCTGGAAAAAAAACTGCGTACCAACTAATAACATTTTTTACCCAGACATATTTGGCTGGTAAACTATTAAATTAAGGAATTATTAAGCTGTAAAGTGTCCCGATTAATATTTTAATGACAGAGGGTTTTTTATTTTATTTTTTAAATGTAACAATTCTTACAAAAAAATATTGTGTGTGTGTGTGTGTGTGGGGAGGGGGGTGTGGGGGGGGGGGGGGGGGGGGGGGGGGGTTGTGTGGAAGGTAGCGATTAATTAAGTGGCTACACCTGGGCTGTCAGGGGTGCGTTATTAAAAGAGGTAGAATGGATAATGTGCGGGGGGGGGGAATGTGGCGCTTGATCAGAAATGCCCTGTTAAGCTCAGCACTCGGGGGTTCAGGGAGTTGGGTGCTGGCAGTGAAGCTAGATAGCGGGCTGTAGGGTCAGGTTCCGGTGTGGTACAGTAGGACTGGCGGGGTTAGGAGGGCACGGCCGCTTCGTATCAGGGGTGTTTAGGCGCGAGAAGCCTCATAGTGCTGGATGGGCGTTGGACCTCCCTTTCAGAGTAGTTCTGCAAAAGATTAGCTATAGGGTGAAAGCTCCGACCACAGGGGAGGGTCATGAACTTCGGGGGGCGCTATGTTTTAACCTTGTCCCTATTTTGTGTGTTTAAAATAAGCATCGTAGCCCGTTATAGCAGTCGGGGCGGGATTAGAGGATAATTGTGTTAATGATTGCAACAATACAGAGAATAATGGGCTTCAATTTGTATCTAAAAACATTTTAAAACTTAAGTAAATTTTGTCCGTTCATCTGTGTCATTCAGTATAGGTAAAACGCCATTTAAAGCATAACACATAATGCTAATCATGTAGCAGTGTGCGATATCACACAGAGTCTCTGTATTGTGTTGAGGTGAGCAAATCTCTCTCAAATATTTGATGATTTTATGTTTTTACCCTCTAGTACCCACTGGAAGAAAAACACATGTCCTTCAGCAACACAGGAAACACACTTTTAATGTGGTCATGTTATAAAAAGCCAGTGATGGGCCGGTGAAGCTTCGTGAAGCTTTCGGGCGTTGCCCATAAAGTACAATCGAACAATCTGAGAATGGAGCGTGACAGGTATTACAGCAAGGTCTGATTGTGTTATCTTAAATATGATTTTAAATATACTATGTTTCTTTCGGCTTACTTATATGTATTTTCAGGCTTTATCTATGTACAATAAAATGTTGTGATGGATCAGGGACGAACTCATTAATTGTTAAATTATTGCCAGTTCGGTGCCACAATGCGTGTGACTGTTTTCACTTGTTGGAGTTTACATTTATTCATTTGGCAGATGACTTTATCTAAAGCGATTTACAGCAAGCGAATGGAAACCCAGCCTCCCCCGTGGCAGGCGAGAATTGGCCCGTTGAATAAGCAAAGCGACTATTATTATTATTATTATTATTATTATTATTATTATTATTATTGTTTCGTATTTTTCCATATCAATATTCACTGACCTTACTGGGAGAAATAGACTCAAGTTACAGCTAAACATTTGAGGATCGCCTCAAATTTTCATAGATTTTAGGCAGAAAAGTTTTGTTAATCTACAGATTTTTAGATGTACCTGTGACATCAAATATGTTGCATGTACGATAAAGCAATAGCATTTTATTCTGGGAAGTTATGTTTCTGACGATCTGAGCAAGGATAATTAACGATGGTTTATGAACAAAATGGGCATTTCAGGTGATTGTTTACTACAATGTTTGCACTTGGCATGGTTTCAGCGGTTATTTTTTTTGTGATAGCACATCAGTATGTATAAAGTACACACTGACAAGCAAGCTTCATTCACCTTTACATTAAACATTCACTTCGCAGACAATAAATCGTATAGTGAATATGTCGTGATTTTATGTAAAAGCCACTAGGTACGATGGTACCTTGCAACCAAGGGCGTAACTTTGGCTGGAACGTTGTGGGGGTTGAGGTCTCCACCCATTAGGGGGGAAACATGATTATCCCCCCGTAATTTACGCCCATGCTTGGAACACGAATTTAATTAATTCCAGAAGGCTGGTTGATTTACGCGTCGCAGAGTGTGACTCAGTGGGCTAAACCTGCATGCCTGTAATCAGAGGGTCACTTGTTCAAACCGAACCTCAGCATGTCTGCGGGTCCTTGAGCAAGGCTGACTGATGTCCTTTGCGGACAGCTTACTCTACGAAGAGCGAGTTGAGGGAGGCGTAAAGACAATTTCCTCACGGGAATCAATAAAGTATCGATTATTATTTGGTCGAGGTCCAAATCGAATTTCCCATAAGAAATAATATAAATGAATTTAATCTGTTCCAGACCCCCTAATAACTGCCTATTTAAATCCTTCTACCTACGTAATGATAAAAAGCATTAACAATCAATGTTAATACCTACACATGACAAATGACACATGCAAAAGCTATAAACATGAAATAAACGATAATTTATGAGCACTTTACCTGTACTGAGGTGAGCTGATGGCATTCTGGAAATTGCAGGTGGAGAGGGGGGGGGGGTTGTTGTTTGGAACGGGAGATACCTTCGATCCGAACATGTTTTAGCAGGTCTGCTTTGTCTTGTCGTGTTCCGAGTTTTATGTCGAGTTGCTCCTAGGTTTTTCTCGATGGTCCGAATTCGTCTCCACCCATACACGTTTTACATGAACAATCGAGTTCCAAGATTTAGGTCGAGATACAAGTCGAAAAAAATTCAACAGACCCGTTCGATGTCCGAGTTGATGGAGTTAGAGGCCTTCGAGTCCCAAGGTTCTGCTGTATTTCTTTTTTTTCCGAACAATTTATTGTATTTTTAGTCCTTATTTTTTTTTATTTATTTTATAAATAATATTTATTTATTATTTATTAAATGAAATTTTTATTGTTTGCATCATATATATATAATATATATATATATATATATATATATATATAATCGAAAACCTATTTTTAGAGTTAATTGACATTTTGATAGACTTCCAGTTCTCAATATATTTCATATTACAATAATATAGCGATTATGCCAGATTATTGTTTGCGCCGTGAATCTAGCACAGTTTCAACCTAGTTCTGGATAAAAAACCTAGTTCTGGATAAAAAATTCAGTGTTTCACTCCATTTGGGGGTGTACACCTTCTTTGTGCCATGTGATGCTTATGACAGTTTCCAGCACCCCCCAGTGGCCTTGTCAGGGATAAACAGTTCAGTTGTAATGGATTTTGATTTTTTTTCCGTCTTGTTTGAGCGATGGGTGCAAGAAATGTAAAAACACAAAACAAAAACAAAGTAAACCCAAGATACAGGGTGAAAATTAAGTAACATAAAAAAGTAAAGAGAAAACTTGGACACGGGGCATATACACAGAACAACAGCGCCCTCATGTGAACATTTCACAGTACTGTACATAAATGAACAGAAGCTGTTCTACATCTAGGATACACGTTAGTATCCTATTACTCTCTCTCTCTATAATGACTGACATTGACATTATATATTGTTGAAATACATCAAATAATCTAGAATGGTATTAGTACAGTAAACTCAGAGCCAGAAAGCCCCTGAAATTCTACTGAATGCTCCCCCCCAAACAAAAGCAACCATTATCCAAGCTCACACATACATGCCCCCTCTCTAGTGTTTGGGCCCCTGAAAGTCTTCTCCTTTCTCCCCCCTTTTGGGCAGTTCTGGGTAAATTAATGTAAAATTACTATAGTAAACGCACAAGAAAATGACGTTGCTTTGGGTTTTGCAAAATAATAGCCCCCAAAGCATACCTTTTGATGTCCTTGGTTTATTGAAGTATGAGAATAAAAGTCAATTTTGCAATTTCATTTACATTTCAGGCTTTACATACCTTGTATGCACACGTAGCTCCTTGAAATAAATAAGGTTGGATACTTAATATTTAAAAGCGTGCAATTTTAAGGCCTTCTCTGTGGAATATATTACCCGGGAGGGAAGGGGGGGTCACATAAGTTGTTATATGATTAACTGATGCATCAGATTGTTTCGCAAAAATAAAAAAAATAACAACTGACGTTTGGGGCTTTTTTTTTTACAATCAGTTGCCAGGATGAGGACAGACATGTAATCATTTTCATATGTGAGAAATGCACCGTAAAACATTTTAGTAAAATAAGGGATTAAGACATTAAAGGAACAGATACTTTGTACATCGGCTAAAGCAGCAGACTAAAGCGCACACATCAGAAACAGCACTGGACTCCTCCTTTTCAGATTTCTGTAGATGTCGTGTAAATGCGTGCCTCCTCCCGGGTATTTGTGCTTACGCAACTCGTACCGGCCACTGCTCTCGATAGAATGAGAGCTGATGATTCTTCTGTAAAATCTCAACTAGAGCTAAAAAAAAAAAAGTGTCATATACATATTAACATGTTGATATATACATTCTACAGCATGTTAGATCTGTTAAAGAAAAGCTATTGTGACATCCAAAAATATTAAGTAGAAACAAATAAAAATAAGAATCTGTCAAGTAGAGATTTGTTTCGGTCTGGAGCGTTTTAGTTTGCAGCTGGTAATGTGAAGAACGTATACAGTCCTGATTGATTTCCTGCTGAAGCCAAACTGCTGTGTCTGAGTGCACCTGACAGTAAGGTACCGTATTCTGCTGATCAAATCAATGCTCTGATGACGGGTAATAGGAAGCCGAATCATTTAGAGCTATGACTTCTGTCTCTGGTGTGAAACCAGACCTGCATATACTGTAAGGTGGTCATATGTGTAAACACACGAGTTACCCACAGGCATTGTCACCCCCCCCCCACCCCGCCCACCCTCCAGGCCCCCACCCCCTTTGACATGGTACTTCACCATACTGTCGCCCCTTAATGCCACAGACACCCTTGGGGGGAGGGGGTCCAAGGTCCACTGCACCCTCTGTACATGACTGAGCCTTAATGTAAACGCCACTGCGTGGATTCGTTTGGACATGCAGAGCACATGCGGGACTTTCGTTCACTCATGCCGTGGCCTTTCCTCGTCTCGTTCATTCAGGCGTACCCATGGCCATCACCTCCCACCCCCCACTTCCCCCCTTCTGTTCCCTGCTTTTATTTATTTTTTTAAAAACCAGTGCTTCCCAGTCCGGTTTCCGGGTACCCACAGTCGGTCCACGTTTTTGCTTTCGCCCAGCTTCCAACCAGACAGCACACATTTCTGCTCCCTCCCAGGTCCTGGTAGGAAAAACATGGACTGCCTGGGGGTCCCTGAGGACCGGATTGGGAACCGCTGTTTTATAGGATAGTCCATGCAGTGATATGTGGGAGAAGATCCAGAGGTGGACGAGCAGTACATTTCGGTGATGAACAAATTTAAAAACCGGGCGCTGACAGGAATGTCAGCCTGCCCATTCTGTGACTCTGCCCCCAGTCTGTTTCTCATCAGAGAGAGGCGTGGCCTCCAAGCCCGTGCCGTGCAGCATGTGACGGGGGCGGGGTGGGCGTGTTATTTTAGCCGTACGTGGGGCATGCTAAGTGACTCGGAGCTGCCTTCAGCAGCTGGGCCGCCGAACACGCTGTGGGAGGAATCGCTGGCTCCTGTCCTCAACAGCTCTGAGGTACCAGTGACATCTGAAGTCCGCCCTGACAAGAACTCAAAGGCGCCCCCTGCTGGCGTGTCCAGGTCCCTGTCGCTGATGAAGAGCTGAGCCTCCTCCCAGCGGCCCGCCGCATCCCGGCAGCTGCCACTGGAATTGTTGCTGCTGCTACTGGTGTGGGAAAGGTGGGGAGGGCAATCGGCTGGTCCCCGCTGCATCAAGTCCTGCGCTGACAGGGACTTGCCCAGGGTGTGGCCGGCCGGTGTCAGGGGGTCAATCTCCAGGCTCATGTGCCTCCGCCAAGAGACCTCGTCTTTGGCGCCAGATTTGCTCCTAAGCTGCACCCCCAAGGGGGCCGCCCTTGGGCAGGGCTGGGCACTGTCGGGGGCGTCGGTGACCATGCGATGGGGCGCAAGGGTAGCGGGCAGCTGGAGCGTCGTGGGTGCGGAGGGCGGAGGTGGGGGCCGGACCAGGCTAGGGAACGAGGCCCCCGAGAGGTTATTAGGTGTCAATATGGGTGGGGCGGGGCCCTCGGAGCCTGGGGGCATTGCTGAGGGGCTGAATGAGACGGGGGCGCTGTGGAGGTTGAGGCTCAGCTCGTTGGGGGCCAGGATGAGGTGCAGGCCGCGGGGCAGGTTGGAGCTGGGGGAGAGGCTGCTGTCCTGGGTGGAGTTGGACGTGTCTTTGGTGAGGACCGAGCTCTGGTAGTCGGACGTCTGCTCCAGCTCGAAGAGCGGCAGGGAGGAGAGGGTCAGCGCCGAGGACGAGCCCTTACGCAGCACCTGCCTGTAGACGTCCAGGAGGGAGTCCAGCTTCGATTCAATGGACTGGACCTGCAGGCCAAGGAGGGACTTACTGGGAGACGGACTCATCTGACTGGTCAGAAAACATCACCTCACTGGGGTCTGTTTACAGCACGGATATTATCACTAATGAAAACTAAAACCATAAGAAAACATTTTCATAACCTGAGATAAAATAAGATATGAAAATAAATGAAAAAGTACAACTAAAAAAAACTCTAAATATTGCTTCTGACACTAACAAATAATTAAAAAACAAACGTCAAATACTTTCCATCACTGTTTTTTTTAATGCTGTTTAGCTGAAGTAATGATTTAATTATCTTTAATTAACATGTTTTGCTCATTTAGAGGACGTTAGCATATAATGTGTCCTATGTATTCATGTAGGATTATCTAAAGATCAGATGCAAAAATATCTCTGATTGTCTGTCCCTAAAAATAAAACTACTAAAACATATTATATACAAAAAATTAAAATATCTTTAAAATTAAAAGAAAAAAAGAACTGATAGAGCCACACCAAAAACTAAATAAAACTAAGATGGATTTCAAATTAAACTACAGCTACTCATATACAGGCTGAATATGAGTTATAATCCCCGCTGATTTGAGCACATTGTTTCTGTACATGCCACTGGTAAAGAACCAGTTTTAATGGAGGTTCATATCCCAGTTGGGGAATTGCAGTTGGACCCTCGAGCCTACTGCTGTGCTTGGTTAAGCTGTGCAAGACAGGCTTAGCGAGTCACGGAAGACTAGAGGCACCCGAAACTAACCTAAGAGAGTGTTTAACGTGACTGAACATCGTTACGCATGGGTGGTGCTGCCCACTCGCCCCGCTCTCGCTCACCTGCCGCTCCACCCTGCAGACCCGTCCCAGCATGCTCACGTCGTCCAGGACCTCGCTCTCCGACAGCAGCTTCTCCCTCTTCCTGTCCACAGGGACCTGCCCCTTGCCCAGAATCTGGTCCACCCTATGGCATGGGGTGAGAGTGTGGCCCAGTCACACAGGTGTCACATGGCTGTCAGTCACGCTGCCCCCCGATGGGCAACACATGCCGATTGGGGCAGGATTGTTGTCTCTGGATGCTCCATTCAAAATGTCATTTTGTCCCCCCCCCCAGTGTAGTGACTGTTTGTTGCCAACAGGATGCCCCAAAACCTCAGTGATGGTAAACACTACATTCTAAAGGGAAAGGGGAGAGGGGAATCTGTCATTAGCTAGCAGGCTGTAAGTTGCCATTTCAGAATCTCTCTTTACATTACAGAGAAGGTAGAAAGATTCAGGATGAATGTACCAGTTAGTGAAATGTTAATGTGATCCTCTTAATACAGCATTTATAATTCTGAGGGCGTAACAGCCGTCTATAATGGTGTGAGTCACCGGACGTCTGGTATTTGGTGGGAACAGGGATTATATCCGGTGGTGGCGTGATGGTGCGGTAATTAAGATGCGCAAACATCCACCAGGTGTTTAACCACACTGCATCCCCACGACGGACACCCAGGTGACTCAGGACTGCAGGGATCAATGCCCAGGAAAAGCTGTGCTGTTGTGCCTTTTTGTAGGATCTGGTTTATCACCCAGATTCTAAACAGCACGACTGTCAAAACCGAGCACATATCAACCACTACTACGTAACGTACTGTAACATAACGTAACGCAACGTAACGTAACGCAACGCGACGTAACATAACGTAACGCGACGTAACATAACGTAATGTACCGTCAGCTTTCCAGACACACATTGACTGTTAAATCATATTAATTTTTACAAAATATTTATGTGTCCAATGTGCCAAAGCTACTAACTATGTTAAAACCTAGAACGAAAAGACGTTTAGTAAGTTACCCCCCAGGCACGAGTCGTCAGGAGGTCACAGGTGTTTGCGTTACTGCCAAGGTCTCAAACTACCAGAGATGGTTTTATACGGCCGGCCATGTTTTTAATCCATTTTTAAATCTGGCCTGCAGATCATCTATATTTTGCTTCCCCATCTCCACCCCCCCCCCCCCCCCCCCCCCCCCCCACACCCACTAATCCCCGCTATAGGCCCTGATTAGCAATTATTGGAGCTAAATCATTTTAATCCTCGTTTCAATTTTGCCTCAAAAAATAGCTCAAGTGTCCGGCTTGGGAGAAGGTCTCCTAGCCAGTGGCCCTCAGGTCATTAAAATATGAGGCCCCTGTGTCTGAGGGATGTGCCAGGAGATTAGAGAGTGAGAGGATGGGGGCCCGGAGCTGATTGTCGGGAGGAGGGGCCACATGAAATGGACCCGTGAATGAGCATCAAACACAGTGTCCAGAGGAACGAGCCTCAACCCCATGGCTCTTCGGGCTAAAGCTCATTCAGAGGCGTGTTTCAAAGGCAGGGCCAGTGGCTCTGAAGGCCAGTGTGTGTCGTTCACCTACAGCTGTGTCTGGCCTTATGTAGATGGGGGGGGGGGGCTCACCGGCTCTGCAGGCTCTTGATTCTGCACAGCATGTCCAGGTGGCCCGCAGAGTACTGCTCGATCACATCCTTCACGTCGTACGGACGCAGAGTCTCCTTGAACTTCTTCTTCGCAACGTGGAACTTCATTATCCTGCGGGAGGGGGGAATACAATTAGGTACGGGGCAGAAATAAATTTTATTCGGCGTTTAGCAACTCTCTGTACATTTTGCTGACTGCGGGGGTCACCCCTGCAGAGGGGAATTTGGCGACTGGCGGGGAGGGGGCTGAAGCGAATTTCAAGGGGGGTATTCAGACTCATTCGTTTGCTACCTGTCGACAATCCTGGGGCCTGATGCTACAAGGGTCAGGGGCTGCAGCCAAGATGCAAGATTCTTTAATTGTCACATACATCGTTATACAAAGTACAACACGTAGTGAAATGCATCAAAGAAAGTGCCCAGTGTGGTTAAGAGGATGTATGGTGCTCTGGAAGATGCGAAGTTAATGCTAACAGGGACCCAGACAGGTTGCCCATCACCAGCCAGCCTTGTAACCTCAGCCCTTCATCGTGTTTCTGCTCCCGCTTCATGTCGGAGTTCAGCCATGTGGCCAAATGCTCAGGATCTGCTGAGCTACTTCACACTAACGGCTCCACAGAAAACCCTGAGCCCTGTCCGATAACTCCAGGTCTCTCGGGGCTTCAGCGCGATCTACTCAAGGGTCTTGTGGGGGATAAACAGGGCTTAGCGCACAACGGCAGCCTGACGCATTGTTAGCGCTTTGCCGTTCAAGTTGCACTGAGCAATATGCGCCACATGGGGGCGACAAAAACAAAAAAAATGATTTGCGTATATAGGCCACATAAAGAATAGAGTTTGTTTTTATATAACTGTAATAATAAGCTTAAATAAGAATAAGCTTAAGAAATACAATAGAAAGCATGGAACTCTACACCCTGGGTATTTCAAAGATAACAGTAATGACATTTTAGGTCTTTTATTGCCTTGTGTACTTTTCAATGGGTCCTCATGTCAGTAAAACATCTGCAATTACTAAAGAAAACAAAACCAAAAAAAAACCAAGAAGAGCCATTCTTTCCTTTTGCACCATCACGATTGGAAATCAACCTCCCTGAGATAGACAGGTGGAGCAAACAAGTCTGGCGTCGTCATGGAGACCACCGACCGGGCACAGGGAGGGCCGTTGAGATCAGTACCTTCCTGAGGGGCTTTACCGTCCACCCTGAGCAGCGAGGGGCAGCAGTAACCAATTCCGGGTCCAAACAAGGAGACCGTGGGCTCGGGGGGGGGGGGGGGCGACTGAAGTCAAACTGTAACTATATCAATATGCCTGACCCAACAACCACATTCCAGATAAAACGGTACATCCCACACAACATGTTCCTGTGGAAGTCTGGCAGGTCCTTCTGACGTAACGGGATATGTTAGGATACCGCTGTGAAGTGCTCAGTCCTACACATTACAGTGACCTGCGGTCAAGAAAACACAGCCGCCTGACCACTAGGGGGAGGTGTGGGGCATCTGCTCTCTCACCTCACCGCCCTGATCACTGACTTGAGCGCTGGCGTCAGGTCGTCCACAGAGATCTCGCAGTGGCAGCCCTTGTCGTCGAAGCCGTCGTCCGGGCCCATGCTGGTGTCAGCTGCTGGGGGGGGGGGGGGGGTGGTGAATAAACAGTGAGAGAGATGTGACAAAAGACAACACGACCTGAGGGAGACGGGGGCCCAAGATGGGGGTTTGAGGCGGCGCTAACGAGGCCGGTAAGAGTCAACGTGTGGCAAACGTGACAGAGATGCAGGGAGAGAAGTGCAGAGTCAGACCCCTGCGGACTCCCACCCAACCTGGAGGCAGCAGCTAATGGAGCACGGCGGCGGAGATCGGCCCAAACCGACTGCTTCTCAGAGTGTCCAGTGACCATCACCTGCCCCCCAGCCCTGCACAGCCCCCAGCCTATCAGGTTGCCTCCGGCAGGCCTTATTCACCTTCGTATCACCATGATTATTATTATAGATGTTGTTGCAGTAGTTACCAAGCTGTCCCCCCGCATCACCCACAGCAAGCGCCGGTTCGGATGGAGGTCCAATGCGCTCCTCCTTCTGCTAGGCCTGTGTGAGGCCCGAATGAGACCTGCTCCACTGGCCCTCTGTTTGAGGTCCTTAATGTCTCCACCAACTCCTACCAAGTGCTACCATAATTAATCTTAAATGTGGAAAGTGCTAAATCCATCACCACCATTGTGTTTACTGCTGCAAATACCCCCAATATTGGTCTGACAGGCCATATCTAAACATATTAATTCGCACATGGACCTGAAGCAGGGAATCATGGGTAACGAGGGAGTCCATCTTCACAGCACTGACAATATCCATGTGTGGATATCAAGTGTGTAGGCAACTCGAAGTAAATGCGCTATTGGCGAGAATTTGGGGAGGGGGGGTGAGACCAGGGCTGCCGGCCCGCTTGACCGCTGCCGGAACTGGCAGGCGGTGGCGGGCTGTGGTCAGCCAGTACGGGTCACGTTTCACATCGTTCATGAGGAAAAGGGAAGGATCCCACTTCAGCAAAACACATGCATTTGTGGGCAGGAAGCGCATGGGGGGCTCTGGGGCGGAGGGGGCAGCCTGCGGGCAAAGCTGACAGGACGGCATCAGCATGGATGGTAGCCGGGGAAAGCGTGCCAGGGACCCCCCCCCCCCATTTCCCTGAAGGAGTTTCATTGTTTTTTGTTCTAGAAGTAACAAGCAAAATGCTTTCAAAGAGGAATCGCTCCTCTGCTCAGCACCGCTGCTGACTGGGAAAGCGCTCTCTCAGTGGGGAGGGGGGCGGGGGGGATTTGAGTGGATCTGAGAGAGCTCAAATGGAAACGTGTCGGGCCTGGTGGAGCCGGCCTCATCATCAGGGGCAGCTAAGAGATTTCGGGGCCCGTGACAGCATATCATATTGCCCCCCCCACCCAGACCAATCTGGTTATGTTCCAAATGTTTTAGGGCCCCTCTCAGTCAGGGGACCTTGACTAACCCCCATCCCAGATATTAAAACCTGTACCTCAAAGCCAAATCTACCAACGGCGTGAATGGGTGCCTGTCAGCTCAGAGCTGGTGACCCGTGTGCATTCAGGATGTACCAGCTCACCAAGTCCACGAGGCTAATGCCCCTAAATCAATGTTCCATTGTCATGGTAACAGGAGCGGGGAGGGGCTCACCTTCTGGGGTGGCACGTGATTGGCTCTTGAGCCGTAGGGAGGGCCGGAAGCGGGTGCGATCGTTGAAGCTCCAGCTCTTCTGCACCTTGGCTGGGCTGGTGCCCTCGGTGCCGACGTCCGTGCTGGGGGAGCGCCGGTCCCCGCTGGACGTATGGCGGCCCTTGATGCTCTGCCCCCGCGGGCTGGCCAGACGCACGCGCTCCTTGAAGCTCAGCTTCTGGCTGCGGGGGGCACAATCACAGGAATGATCAGCTGCCTAATGTTGAAACTCGAAAGGAAATAGACAAGTATTTGTTTTATTTATAATACTAAAATGGGTGGGGGGGGGGGCATGAGGGGCGTTTTCTATGAAAAAAGCACTAAATTGGGGCCCCAATCTGTCACACTGCTTGCAATCACCGGGGCCCAGGCGAGACCCCACCCCAGGCTGTAATTAACTGGGGGGGGGGGGAGGGTGGCTGGGCCGGACATATTGACTTCACTGTGAGTCACTGACTGATGGGGGTCTCACTGGAATGCCAGGTACAGGGCAGTGCAGACCCTGGGACACACGCACACACGCATGCAGACGCACGCTGTCCTGGGAGAAGCCGGCATGCACGATGACGAGCGGGCAGACCCACGCCATGGCCAGGCAACTCCATCTCTGTGCCTGCGGTCAGTGGAGCGTCTGACACAGACAATGGGCACTGAGGGGATAACCCCGCCCCCCCATTGTAAACTGACTCCGCCCTATGGGAGGGGCTAATGGGTTCAGGGGCTCCTACACAACAGCAGGATCAAAACCAAACGCAGCCCTGGAGCGGCTTGTATGCAGGTTGCTCAGTTTCTGGGGGGGGATTTCAAGTCAGAGTCATGCAGGGTGGGTGGGTCAGAATGGACACAGGCAGCAGGCAGAGTGAGGGACAGGGCCTAACCCTAACCCTAACCACCCTCCGATGGCCCTTAAAGACTCTGAACTGTGACACATTACTCTATTGATGTAGCGTTCGGTGAGCAGTGGGTCATAAAGCATCATTTTAAAGACTGACATGTCTATTACAGACCATAAAGACAGCTTATCAACATACACTGAAAGGTAACTGTATTTCTGCCTGGACACTAAAATGTATTGCACCAACAGGAAGTGACCAGGGTCAGTACCTACCCGTGTACTCTTCTCTAACCCAAAAGCAATTATACTCTGTGCTTACTAACCTAAGGAACAGTCACTAATGATTTAATGAGGCTCACCAGTCATTTCAGCCCCTTCTCTTGTGCATATAATACAGTACGCCGGAAAAGAATGTCAATTAAATGCATAAAATTAAAGTATGAAAAATGTACAATGGTGTCTATCTATATTTAATTATGTCTTTCTTGGACAGTTAAAAAAGCAATCATAGTGTACTCATACACTTAACATCTGATCTACACATAACAGCACCCCCTGCTGGTGTGGATGTCTTAAGGGCTGCGGCCTTGGTTTGGGATCTAGAAAAAGGGGTGACAATTCAACAATTACTGTGAACTTCCGCAACAACATTGCAGTTCACCTGTATTTCTTTACAGTCTAGCAGTGTGTGGTGACACACCTCTGAGGATTGCCTCTAGGGGGGGGGGGTTAGGGGTGAGAAATCACTCACGTGGGGCAGATTTGTCCGAAAACCGGCAGGCAACAGGCAGTCAGGGATTCTGACAGGCAACATCCGAAATGAAACCACCAGAAAACGTGACGGTAATTATACAGGAACAAGGGACCCGGACCCGCCAGGCGGGGCCATCGCTGTCCATGCACCTACGGTTAGTCAGCATTCCCACAGGCCACGTGCCCAGGAGGGGGGGTGTCGAATACCTATGTCTCCACGAGGTAAACCTCCAGCAGAATCTCTCTCTACTACTAAAAAGCTTACTAGGGGAGATAGACGGTCATGTGTTATTCCAGCCAGAAGAAGAAAGTCTCCGGTCAAGTAGCTGAAACAGTAAACAGTCATCATGTGTAACAGAGAAGGTAGGTCATTCATACGTTCCGTTTCTGCATCGCTCGTTAAAGGACAGTCATTACCCAGCTCTTTATACACAGGCATTTCCAAAGCCCGATGGCCCGGAACCGGACCGTGAAGAGACAGAAAACAATTTTACAGTTTATCATCTGATGGCCCCCCCAAATTGGGGGGAGATTAACCGGCACGAGGGAGTAAATGTAGCATTAGTAGAGGTGCATTAAAAGAGGAATTGCTAAGATTTTTTTTTTGGGAAGGGGGTGGATTGTATAGGGTGTGGGGAAGCATGGGCTGGTGGGGAACTGCTCCAGACACACCTGCCCTGCCTCCTCCCAGATGGATTCTTGTTGTTATGAGCGCCGCCCCTGTGGACCCTTTAGATATACACCTAACACTCTGATTCACTGATTTTTATTCTACAAAAAAAATAAAAGGGAGGATGGACAGCATAATTAGGCCGACCCACATATGACTCATCACGCAAAGTGGACCAATCAGCTGAGACTACAGGTGAATGTATAAATTTCTGCAGGTCCACCTTGTACTCATCAGGACCAGCATCTTCTAGTCAAAGAGTACTTAGGCTGCCATTAAATAAAATCATGTATATTTTAAGCTTAATGCATGACCTGCTGATAGTAGGATTAATGACCCATAATGCTCTGGGACTGCTACTGAAGATTGGGCTGTGAGGTGGACAGCTCACACACACACACACACACGCACACACATATTCACTCATTTTTTGAGTCAAGACCCATTTAGAGAAATCAATTCACCCAACCTCCACACCCTCCAAAGGAGCCCCCCCCCACCGTGTATGCCTCACATGTATCACGTCCCACATGTATCATCAGGCCACAGTTTGGCGATGTGGTACGTTGTTAATACTGTATAACACACATTTTACACCCCCTGAGAAGCAAGAACAGCTAACCTCTGCGCGGTCCTGTCAGGCTGCTTCACAGCTCCTGCTTTTCTTGACACACCAGAGAGATGGGAATGGTCTCTGGAGCAGCCCGACAGGGAATAATGACTAACATAAATATCCGAGAATGGGAAAAGAACGTTTCCTGGGCACATCTGACTCCCTGGACACAGAGCTAACAGTGATGGGTACCCCCCTCCCCCCCATTACTGTATGCTTGCCGATGAGGATGTAGCCTGGGATGAGAATTACGGAATAGCCTTTACAGAATTTCCGGAATCCGATAAAAGCATCGCACTAATTCCACAAAAAAGACATGTGCAATTCATTGAATTAGGAACATTATCCAATCCTGTTAAGAGTCTGTCACAGTTTTCTGTTGCTCCTGAAGGGAAATCAGTACAGTTCATAATCCTCGATGAATAATTAATCGAAAATTACGAGAAGCGTCACGCGTAACGGTGTACAGTTTTAAGAGTTTAAGGCCTACAAACCTTGTGGATGATTCCAGCTGGTCCTTCCTTCGTGTGTCGAAGCAGACGGGGAGAGGGGCACAGAGGTCAAAGGTCAATCGTCCATGTCTCCAGGCGTGGCGGCACACACAATTAAAGACCCAAAACCGATACTGTGCATACGACCCACACGACACGGACGATCACGAAGGAGAAAGAGAAAAGTGACAAAAACTCAGCAGGAGGGAGCAGGATGCAGGCCCATGCGGCAAGACGTCAAAAGGCAGGCGCAGGCAGGCCTCACACGGTACACACCAGGCAGACTAGGCAAGCGCGGCAGCGGGGCAGGGAGTGCAGCTAGCACGGCTAGTAGGGCCTGGCGGCTCACACCTGCTTGAACATGTGTTTGTTTTTCCTTGGCGTTAAGGGTGGGGTGTGCCCTGTGCTAATGCGTCGCTGAAAGAGCGCCCCCTCCTGGCGGGAGGATAGCCCTTCGTGGACTGGCGTGTGAGTCCCGGTCAAACCCGGCGCCCACAGAGATGTCAAAGGGCAGCTGGGCCCGCGATGGGACCCTGTGGGAGCTCAGCAGATGGCTGGCCCAGTATTTCCAGGCTCCAAACTTTGTGCAAAACCACGACGCAAAGTATCTCATGGCGGTTTTTACGGGGGACATGCTACTATGGGATAATGATGCAGGGGCAATAGAGTTTGAAGGGCCCACCTAGATCGCTCTCATCATATATCATACCCAGCAGAGGTGGAGAGTCAACGTGTTGGCACCATAAAACTGGCTATTTGGCGCCACCCAGAGGACGAGAGAGGGAAAATTTTGGGCCACAGACAGAAACATGGGGCACCTGAGAGCAGATCAGGGCTGTCAGTGGGTTGCGGCCCAGTGGTGGATCTGAGGGGCTGGGGGTGGGAGATGTATTTGAGTGTAGCTACAGACCAACACGTTCGGGAGCCTGGATCATAATGGGCAGTTCGATGGCAGGGAATAATTAAAAGCAACATTTAAAAATTTGGAAAAAAAAATAAAGATAAACACATATTTAAAAGAAAAGAAAGAGGTATAAAAACTTACAGTAAAGTGATATACAGGCCGGGAGACTTAACAAAAATACCAATTAATGGGAGAAAGAGGAGGAGAAACAGCGGAGGGCACAGACGCCACGTTTAACACCAGCTGCCATAGTTGTACCTACTTCATAGGGCTGCAGGTATGCAAGGCCTTCAAATGAGGCTTCCAGGTAGCAATGGAAACCGAGTTCTCATCAGCCGAATAACTACGCCAAACACACTGCATGCAGAATATACAAAATGGGGGGGGAGGAAGAGAGGGAACGAAAAAAAAAAAAGAAGAACAAGGCCAGAGGAAGAAGGGGTAAAAGAAGAAGAGGAGGAGGAGGAGGAGGAGGAGGAAAAAAACAAAACAAATGAAAAGAAGATTAGTAAAAACGACTGCGGCTAGGCTCGTTGTCAGGTGGGGGTACGGATACATGCCTGGGGAGGACAGTTTCATAGTGACGCCAGGTGGCCCTCAGGTAGAGCCGGCTATCGTCAGTGGAGTAATACCGCCACGCGGCCTGGTGTGGGGGGGAGGAGACAGAGGGGCCACAGCATGATGAGGAGGCGGCTGACCTTACCGCACCGCCGCGGCTCTCCAGTAGGGGGCGCCAAAGGCAGTGGTGGGCGTGGCCTGAAGCCGGCCGGACGGGGCATTACGTGGGGCTTCACGCTCGAGAACAAACCCCGACTGACTCACGCTACATGCTACGTACAAGGAGGTGTTCCCGGCCCTGGGATGTTTCTGTGAGGGAGGAAGTTTTAACTGGAAGAGCCACAGAAATTTCCTAAGTGTAGGAGCCATCCGTAGCGGGCTGTGATATCATGTGTCTGTGAACCCCCTTGTCCAATTAAAAAACGAGCTGGAGGGGGAGGACTTTAACTCTGCTTTGGGTTAGGTTAAGTGAGGAGAGCAGAGCTGTCTGCAGGAGTGTGTGTGCGAGTGTGTCTGTATATCTGTCTTTGTGAGTGTGACTTTCTGGGTGTGCGTGTGCATGCGTGTGTTT